CGGGCCCCCCCGTCGTTGGGGGCCCGGGAGCCGCTGCTGCCACAGGGCGCCATGGGAGAGCTGGAGGGGGGCAGTAAGGAACTGCTTTTTTACCAGCTTGGGGGTGGGGGTGGGTTGAGAAAAAGAAAATAATAACAGAAAAGAGTAAACTAGTACACCGATGCCAGGAGCAACCTTGGTATCTGACATATTTAGACTATTCTCGCTTGTTCTTGCTTTCTTTCATCGAGCGACTGATGGAACTTAAGTAAAGTTGGATTAAGAGCTAAGGTGGGTACTCAAATATTTCAAAACTAAAGTATAAACTCCAAACCTTCACTGGAAGGAAGGAGTTAGAGTTCTTGCTTATTAGTACTGTATGACTCAACATTTTAATTAAATATCAGGAAATAGCCTGTACATTCACTGCCTGTCATTCTGAACTAATAAAGTGTTTATAAATTACTTCTCTTTTTTCCTGAGAGGCTTTCGAAACATGACTTACCTTGTTCCAGGAAGGCCCCTCTGAACTATTTAATACACTCAAATCGGCAGAACCACTAATTACATCACAATTTCAGACAAGTTCATTGATTTTCGATCATGTTGCCTCCTTTGCACAAACCAACAAGGCTTAATATCACCCATTAACTGCTTTTTAACAATTTACTCACACACTTCAAGGAGAATTTTCAATATTGCAGTTTCAACAAAAAATATCAGTGGGACCTTCCTTCCCTTGACCTCACGGGACACAAGGGAAGGAAATATGAGGATGAGCCTTATCGGGGCTGAAGGTATTTGAAGGGTGGTCATGGATTGCTCTGTTCCATCATCAAGTGGTCAACTTTTCCACCAGGTCAGGAGATTTTGGGACTCACGATGTAACTGTTGAAAGGTGTTCAGTTTTGTAAAACCACGGCCAGACTCCAATGTGGCTGAGATACGTGGGGCCCAACTTCTTCCTCAAGGAAGAGGAATAACCTCTCCTTGCACCAGTGGAGGATTGAGGAATTTTTTTTTTTAATTTTTTTTTTCTTTGAAAGAATGCCTGAGTGAGTTAATAACAACCTTCTACTACAAATCACTGGCTTCTGGTACCTAACTCACTGCTGTGTTTTTATGTAGCTCATCATTAGGCTCCAGGATTGACAAAATTTAAATTGTCTTAACAGTTGCTCTAGAATAAAATGAAATCTGTGTTTGCAGCTTGCTATGTGTCTATACATCCATATGGGGATAGTTTAAATAATTACATTCACTAGCATACACTTTCCATCCTTCTATTTTTTTATGTGCCTTGCCAGAGAGAGATGTATTTTACTTCTCTCTTACCTACCAGCTGCCAAGTAGTAACCGAAGCTGAGTCATCAGCTTGGAAGGAAATCAGCCACGACAGAAAGCCCTCAAGTCTACTTGTTTTTTATAGCTTTAAAAGTGAGAGATTGTTCAAGTGTAACCTGAGAGGAAATGCCTGGGGGCAACTGGAGAGAGAAAAAATGGGAACTTCTAGCAAAGGAATGGATTTCAACCCCACCTCTGCACTGGGTGTGTGGGCTTACCTCCTCCTCTTCCTTCCTTTGACAAGAAATGTGTCGTAAGACGCAGGGTAGTGAGTAAAACACCATCCAGCCAGGAGGTTACCGAAAATTCTAGGTTTTGTTTGATTAAACTGAGTTTTCAAACTCTAAATAAAAGCACTTACTGGCTTTTCATCTTCTCTTCCTCCCATTACGGGCAGGGTTGGAGCTCCTCCTGACTTCAGGAGGTGCCAGATCAAGCGGAAGGCGAGCAAAGGGAGCGATCTGCCGCTGGAAACGGCTGGCAGCTGTCAGAGCCATCCCCACGTTTATTTAGAAGACAAGTGCCTGAGCAATTCAGGGGAATAAGACTGAGAGTCAGGAGCTTCTCATTTTGCCTGCACCTCGGAAAACTAATTTAAATCTCTCCAAGTCAGCGTCTCCAGGTGCGATAGGATAAAGACAGTAATTTTTGTCCGCTTTGACAGGATTTTATGAAGGTCCTGCACTCAATGCTTGTCTCACCTATGATTTGCTTGCTACTGGTAACAATTTTAGAACAAAATTATTCAGGAATTGAGGTCCATAGCAAGCCTAAGTGATTTATTTGGACTCACAGATGAGAGCTGGTTTGTCTCCTACAAATGCAGAGGAAAAAATTTACAATATCCAAGGAGGCTAGACGTCCCAAATCCCGGTGAAGCCAACCTACAGTTAATACTTAATGCTCCCAGGTACTTTCCAAACTCTCCAGATGACACAACCTGCCTCCTCCAGCTCCTCTGCAGAGCCAAAAGCACCACAGTAGCTTCACTCCAAGCTGAGTGTTGCTTTTTTTTTTTTTCACCCACCAGCTCTTAAAGGAGATAGAGCCTCTCCCAGACACCACCTATTTAATGCTCTGAAAACCAGTGTGGCTTGGTATTTTCTTATAATGGCTTTTGTCGTCCTAAGAGCCCTCGTGTCAGCACTCCCAAGGACAACCACAACAACCGTGCTCCCCAGAAACTGGGCGCTTCTTCGCAAAGCAGAGTTTATACTTGCATCTCTCAGGTTTTGGCCTCACGCCACGTTAAGTCTGCATGTGAGCAATCCACATTATTTTACCTGCAGAACTGAAAGCACAATAGATTTATACTGCAGAAAGTAGCTCAGGGGTCCTAGACACTGAATCAATGTTCTGCATGAAAATTAGCTTACCTTGGAATTACAGCAAGGTGTCTTTTCGAGGGTGATTAATAAGGAAACTGCTTGTTTTCACCTACAAAAATATGTGTTGCACTGCCACTCCTGCTTCCTTATCTTTTTCCTGCTCCTTCCATTTCTAAACTTTTTATTTCTTCTCCCTTGTCTTACATAATTCATTGCACAGGTGAATTATTCCATGCAACCGCCTTGTGATAGCAGCAAACGGCAGAATGAATTTTTACTGTCCTTGCTACAAATTAATACATTCCAGGTAAGCACATTTTACTTTAAACTTGCAAAGATTTCAGCTCCGGACTTTGGAATATATGGATTATCCTTCGCTACTTCCCTCGGTGAATATATATTATTGCTAAACATTACTGTGCCTACAGCCAAGGGCAATATAAAAATGCCATTATCTTAAGCAAAGTAGGAAAAAAGAGGCATTCAAACAAGTAGGAGATTGGGTAGATTGCCTACTACTGCATCCTGAGTAGTCCCTTACTCGTGAGCAGCCCAATTCATTACAATAAAACAGCTCAGGTGATAAAGCACACGATGAGCACAGATGGCAGCATCAAACCCCAAAGTCATACATTGCTGCTACAGGACCCGTACACTCCAGGGCTCAGTAATAATTAAGAGATTAATCATTTACGTGAGATGTTTTAATCTTTCCATTTATGATTTGAAAGGAGTTTGCAGCATTATATGTTTTCTCTCGGAAAGCCGCATTAACAAAACATCCATGTTTAAAACATCTCTCTGTTACCGGAAAATGTGTCCTATTGGACCCTTATAATTGGGCTGAGGATCAAATGGCTTTTTAAAACTGTTCTCAAGAAATACAATATTCTGATTTATGCTGATGTTTTCCAGAGTGCAGGGACCACGGAAAATGATGCCCTGCACTCAGCAGTCTCTTGATTTGCAAACTATCAATTTTCATAGTTGATTACAATTTTATGAGATTCTTTATCCTCAGCAACTCTTTTTCCTCTTGAAAGTGCTAAATTGCTTTGATTCCCTACAGCTACTCTATGCCATACACATTTCCCGAGCAATATCCATATGCAGGAGAGAACATAATTTTCCTACTGTTCTTGGCTTCTCCTGATCAAAGATACCAGCATGCAAGATGCATTTTTCATTCTTAAACTTTGCTTTGCCTTTCAGCATGTTTTTTTTCTTTTCCTTCCCAAAACATTAAAGGGCCAGCTCTATAAACACAGTAACTTAAATTTTACTGCTGACGTGAATCCTAAGATTAAACTAGAGCTCCGGATCCCAGAAACTTCTAATTTTGTCAAAACTGGGCTCCAAGCTTTCTGTTTCAGTCTGTATCTCCTAAATTTTTATATCACCTGATCAATAAGCTGTTACAAGCCAGTGTTATGTTCTAAAAAAAGACAAAGGAGAAGGGAAGAGAATTCAATACGTTGGATAAAAGCATATGAAGAAAGTGCATATGACTAGGATTGAGTTCCTTTAAGGAGAGAAAGGAAATAAAAGGAAAATAATTTGTAAGCTGGACTGATGGGCCTCAGTGGGAACAGTAAGCCAGGGCCCAAATTGTACAAAAAGGATCAAAGAATACTGGAAGAGTTACTGCAGCTTTGAAACCACTGAATTCACTGAAACACAGTCTAAAAGGCAGGTAGGTAGGCTTGGAAAGCGTTAGGGATTAACCCTGTTACTTCCAGACAATTCTTCTTTCTCTACGTTTTCCCAATAAACTTGGGAAACTCTACTAAAAAGAGGAAAGAGGATCACTTTCCTAGAGTAAAAAACCCCCGTGTTTCTGATGTTAAAAGTGGATCAGTCCCTCCCTGGAGGAGACAGGCGAGCAGATACACCCGAGTTCTGGCTGACTTGGTTCTGTCACATTCTCTTACTGTTTTAGTGTAACACAGAGAAGCAACAAAACCCTCTCATGTTGAAGATGGAGTTTTTAGTTTGATACAGACAGACAGAGACAATCCCCAGCGCCCAACAGAGCCCATCAACTATACTTAGATTCTCGGCATCTTCACTCCATTCAGCTCAGCTCTACCCTCTACTCCTGTCAAGAGAAATTCCTCAACTTGTCCTTTAAGTTCTTAAAAACCGAGAAGGATTTCCTGAGCAGGGCTCTGCCTTGGCAAGCCTCCTCCACATCTGAAGGTAAGCAACGTCCTCCTGTCACCCGCGCTCTTGCTCCAGCAGGAGCTGCTGGAGGAAGCCACGATACTGGGCAGAAAAGGAGAGAATTTAGCGATGTGGGCAGGCAGCCAGCCACACCAAGAGCTGCAAAAACGCGCCTTTGCGAAGCCTAACAGCTCACACGGGAATATCAGATGCTGTAAAACAAAAGATTTCTAGACCCTGCGGTGTTTTCTAGCAAGCTTTGGTTGATACCAGAATGCAGGGCTTTTTTATTTCCTTTTCTTCAGTATTTAGTGACTATATAGCAACACTAAAAAGCCAACATGGATAGTGGTTTTGTTTGGTTTTTATAACAGTGTTCTCTTAGCAAGAAAAAGCACATGCAGGTGTGGTGTGAAAATTCCATTTAAAAAGAAAATGAGATCTTTCAACAACAAGTTAAATCGAAGTGGCAGGCAGGAGTATGAAAGGAATCAACTCCTCCCCACACTCCGTCTCGCTTTCCTCTCATTCTGTTTTTTGTTTCAAAGCCTTTGGGCCTTATATTCTCAGCGATGATAAAGTCTACATTGTTGTCTGCCAACTAAACTCCATTCAGGCCTCATAATATATCACATAATATACACGGGATTAAGTTGTTAGCTCGCTTTTCTTTCAACTGCCATTCATCAAACAAATAGCACTTTGAGGAAGGAAACCCATTCTCCCAGCTGCAGCGTGCACAATCTAGTTATCCACATTGCTGAGACTTTGCAGTTTGCCATCGCAAAAGGTGACAAACGATTGTGTAGAAGCATTAAGTCAGTTTTCATTCAAATCAGCCGGATGCTTCGGGCTCTCCTCCAGGTCCTCGCCCCGGGTGGGGAGCACTTACGCATGTCCTGAAGACCTGAGCTGCAGTTAAATCTAAACCCCACGTCCAGCCTGGCACTTCTTAAAGTGCATAAATATCCATTTTTACTCTTTGTGTCAGCTCCTCTCTGCTAACCTGTGTGCAGCTATCTGCTTGTAGTAGCTGAAAACTCTCCTTTCTCGACACCTGCGCACGTCTACAGAAAGGACTAAAGCATTCATTTTGCTTAAAATACGTCCCCTGTAATAAAGCTATTGCATTCTCCTGTAAAACTAAATACTTTCATATCAGAGTATGTCAAAATCTACTCACAGTGAGCGACAGGTTACCCTGTCTCCTATTCTGGAGATACTGTAGGTCATATTAGCGCATGTAAATACGGGTTTAAAGTTGGACGACGATTTTGCTGCTGTGGAGGCAGATACGGGTTAGTCCCTCGACGAAATGCCAGTTTAAGCTAATGCAATTTTAAAATAAATCTGGCTGACTGAGTTTGAGGTCAGAAGAAAGATAGAAAATGCCTGAATATATGTTCCAGCAGGTGCAAATGTGGTCCAGGGGACGGAGGTGAACGAGAATGCTGGAATACAGCCCATGGGGCTCTCTCACCTGTAAAATGGTTTGCCCTCATTTCACAACCCAGCGGGCCACAGCTTCAGCCAACGTAAATAGCCCTCAGCGAACTGAGCTGACTACAACCAGATAATAATCTGATTTACAGCTGGGAGTTAAGACAGCTAGTTTTGGAAAGAGCGCGCTGCGTTTATTTAAATATCCTGGGCCGTTTCATTGCAACAGAACTGATTTTCTGGAAGAAGAAATTACTGAAGTGACATTTCCAGTGACAAAAGTAGTAATTAGCCACAGAGATGCTTCGAAATGCTGCTCTTAACTCCCTGGCAATGTTACTGACAGGTTGCTTTACAGTTATGACCCCCGCTGGAGCTCAGGTAATTACACATCTGCCCCCCGCCCAGTACCCTCCTCTTTGACTGCCCGTGTGAGAGCACGAGTAAGCAAACCCCGCGCTGTGCTCGTGCTCGGGCTCTTTGGTTTTTCACGTCTCTGTGCAAATGAGATTAACACACAACTTTGCTTACGGGAACGTTTTCATGGATTGTCATATATGCCATTTACTAACCATTCACCTGAAGGATGTGGGTCTGATACAGCTCTTCATAGCCGTAGGCATGACAGGTGTAATTGCCCATGTGAATAGTTGTTACCTTGGTGATGTAGAGGGAATCGTCTTCTCCAAAATCCTGCACGTAACAAAAGACAGGAAAGGTGCCTTATTATTTAGCAAAAATACTTTAAATACCACGTGAAGGGAGACTACCTGTACAGCAGTTTTGATCGCCCCACGGCTTGGGAGCACAGCTTGAATTTTGAACGGCGAGTTTTAAAGTTCATAAATCAACACGCAGGGAGAAAACGAGTGGCAATTTAAGAGCGAGGGAAAGTAACTGATCTGAGCCCATGAACTTGTGTGCTGGTTGCTAACAAGGTGCTCTTTGCACATAAAAAAGATGGCAATCTCCAGCTGTTTAATTTATGGGGGGAATTTAATATCTAACCATTAACCTCAGATGCATAAAATGCTAACTTCTGCGCAGGTTAAGGTTTCCTTTATCTATGCCATTCCTTAGAAAATGCACCGTAACCTTGAGACTCAATGAGGAAGAACTGAAACTGTTTGTCACTTATCTCGAACAATACCCTAGGCAGGAGACAAGGAAGAAGTCAAAAAGCATTTTCTACAAGAAACTTGTTTGATCTGTAACCGCTTGGCAAGTGTCTTTCTTTATCCCCTTCATCTTCCTAGCTCTGGTCTTACATTACTTCAATTTTTGACTATAGATGGAGAGAATATGAGTCAGTAGAGAAGTTTTGGCACTGGACTATGTTGAATACGTGCTCTGCTCGGGAATTTATTTCAAATTATAGCTAACAGAATCACAGCAGTGATGGGTATATGAAAGCAGCTTCTCTTGTTACTCCATTAAGGTTTAGACTTCTGCAGCTCCAGAATGTTTGTATTTCTATGCAAACCCAGAAGCATACATCTAAAAAATCCAGTTCATGAGCTTAAAGAACAATTTCTCTTTAATTAGCTCCATGTGCGAAGCACGCTGAACTAATCTCTTCGAAGAATCTGACTGCAAAAATACGGTAAAACGCAGCTGAGAATCAGGGTGCTCAGTAGAGCAGGGCGAGTCGAAGAGTGCTTTTGTGAAAACCCAAGGACTTTTAAAAAAAAAATTACCAATGTGAAGGTGGAAAGCCTGCCTGCAGCCAAGGGGTGCATGGGGGAAAGCCCTCACATGAAGACGTGCCAGCTCCCACCCCTGGCCAGCACGGCACTGGAGGGCGGTGAGGAGGTGAACACGCACGGTCGTGGTCTTTCAGCACGTCCTGATGGAACCTACCAGCGTGAACGGTGTAAAACAGGGACGTAAATTTGCTCTGCTGGGTGGGAGTCAAGAACTTGGGTCTCAGTTTCCCCGTGATGGAGAAAGGGATCCGTGCACATCGCAGGTACGACGCTAAAAGTAATCGACCTCCTCCATGCAAGTGCTGCCAAAATCCCTGCCAGGTGCTCAGAAATCATGAGCGAGAGTTGTTTGATCATCAAATGGGCCTCTTTCTAAACCAAAAACCATACGGGGCTCCTTATATCTCACATTTCCTGCCTCTTCAGGGTGCATCTGCTCCACCCTTTGAAGCTTTCCTTTCCAGCCACAACACTTTGAACGTTTGTTGAAGGAAGCCGCGATTCAGAGGCAGACTTGCAACGCCAGCTGGCGCCCTTAAAGAAAAGCACAAAGTAGCCCATCTCTTGCAGTACGGGATTGATCTGGCACCACTTCTGCTCGCTTTTCTGTCTTCCCCAGTAACTTCTGTCTGGCATCAGAGAAATGTTTTCATACCTCTCCTCTCACTGGCGAGCCAGCATTGGTGGAGGGGGAAAGGAAGTTTGGGGACGTGCTGGTTTTTACACATGCTACGAAGCAGATCGAGAGTGAGCAGCGAGAAATATAGAATTTACAGGCAGGACAACAACCCTTCCCAAAGGACAGACCTTGACCTGAGAGGTTCTGCTATTTGCTTCCCTACGGCATGTGCTGCCCCAACGCGTGCGGGTGGGAACAATTATCAAGAATAGGTTGGATGAGATGATCTCTAAGGTCCCTTCCAGCCTAGATCATTCTATGATTCTACGAATAAAGAGTAAATCCATAGATGATCCTGAAATTCATTATCTATAATCAAAAGCATCTCAGATATTACTGCCAGCCTGGGTATTCGGTTCGGAATCTAAATCTACGCTACGGGGCAAGCTGGTTAAGCTACCCAAGACGTTATTGCAAACATCTACTCAAAATTTCCCATTTCAAGCATTTTGCCTGTTTTCTGGTCAGCTAGATCTTTCCCGCCGGAAAGCAAAGATGCACGAATAACTGCAAATAGAAAAGATATCAACCCTGTTCAAATGGTATTTGCATGAGATAGAGAAAATGCTTGCAGCCGAGGGGACTTAATAACAGTTTTTAAAGTTAATCCCAAAGCAACTCAAATTGAGTTTAGATCAATAAAAGCAGGACGGCTACTTTTCCGGAATGATTTATAAGGAGTTGTGGAAAAATACGACAATAAAATCTTCTCTGTTTTAAGTATGTTGCTTCCTTTAAGATATCTCACAAAAATATTATGAATGCTTGGTTTGTGCTCTGTAACTGTCTTTTTATGGACAATCTGTTTTTTCCAATGCATACAAATGTATTAATATAAGTAAAGACCCTTGTAAAAACAAACTGATGCAAGATTATAGTATTATTCTCTTTCTTTCCAAATGCATTTATCTTATAAAGAGAAGCTTATATTCCTAAAAGCATGGTTTATGACTTTTAAAAACTATTTTCTGACTTCTAGCACTTAAAGAAGGTTATCAAAGACGATTTAGGTTAACACCGTATCATTTATGTCAGGCACAGAAGGGAATCATCCGCCCTGTATTACAACTTGCGCATGCACAATAAATTCACATAAGGCTACCAATGTTATTAAGAATAACCAGAATTAGATGTGGGAAGGAAAAAGTGATTACGAAATTCAGGTTTCATTAGTTGGTACAAAAAGAGTATTGAATTCTCTAACAAATTAAC